CAGAGGCTGTGGGGCTGCGGCAGGTGGGTGCTGAACCGAACCTCCCCATTCATCTCCTCGGAGGCAAAGATGTGCTTTGGGTCCTTCTTCTTGATTTTTTCATGCCTGCAAAACAAAATCCTCCGTGGACGTACTGGCAGTGTTAGTTTTGTAAAGGGGCAGCTGAACGTGACAGCAGCAAACAGTGCTGGTGTCCAGCAGCTTTAGGAAACAAACTCGGAACAGAAACCCAAGCTTCCTGTTGTCTGCCTCTGACACACAGACTGCTTTATAACCATGTTTTTTTGGTTCAAATTTTGCTTGTGAAGGAGTTACCGTGACCAGAGGCACCTCCCAGAGAGTAAGTGTCTTACCAGGTGAATGGCTGTAGATTGTGTAAGAAAGGCCTGAATCCGGCAATGCATTCAAACACCATCGTCCCAAAGCTCCAGTAATCAACAGTAACCGAGTAGGATTTATTCTCAAAGAGTTCTGGAGCCTAAAAAGGATCACAAAAAGACAATGGTGGTATTTCCTTGCATTTCTGCAGAGGCAAAGCTGTGTCCAGGCGTGGCTCCCAGCTCCAGCTTCAGCTGTCCAGTGGGTCGGGGCCTGGAACTCTCAATCCATGGGATGAGGAGGGAGCTGGACTTGTTGGCTCTGGCTGTGGGGGGTGAGAGCAGCCCCGAACCATGGCACAGGAAGGGATGGATGGGATCAAACTCCCCTTGGAAGCAAAGAGGGGAAACAGCCCCAGACAACCATTGAGGAGGTTCAGGATGGACATGAGGAAAGGATACCCTGGGGACAGCTCCCCAGGATCTCCAGTTTTGGAGGTTTCAGGGCATGGCTGGGCCAAGCTCTAGAGCTGGTGACACTGAAAAAAAAAAGCCTTACCAAATATTGTAACGTTCCAACAAACGAAGTGCATAAACTTCCTTGATCCAGATCCTTTGCATATCCCAGGTCTATTATTTTGTGGACAATCTGCAGACAGTTTTAACAGCTTATCAGAAGAGCAAATGCCAAGAAAAAAAAACAAGCAAACAACCCAAAATCTGCACAGTGACATCGACAGCATACAATCGAGAAGAGGGAAGAATGGAAATTATGGAGAAAGTCCATGGCCAGGCTTCAACATGTGACAGAGCTAAAGCTGACAGTAAATTGACAGTCCAGTTCAGTGTGACAACTTCCAGAAATGACACTGACATAGGCCACCTGACTTACCTTCCCACCTTCATCCTGAAGAACAATATTTTCAGGCTTTAAATCTCTGTGTATGATTCTGTTTTCATGCAAATACTGGATACCAGACCCTGAAAGACATGTGTTTGATTTAACAGAAAATAAACTCACATTGGCTGAAGATCCATCTGATAAAATATAATACTGGGGAACAAGTCCCAAAGATTTACCACCACTCATCATTTAACAGCTTCAAACTTGCATTTCTTCTCCACAGCATTTTCACATCTTTGCCAAGACACAGCAAAGACATTCACCTTATGATGAAACCAGCCCTGTTCTGGAGGTGGAAGGGGATCAAGGATGAAGGAAGCAGAGTTGCTCTTTATTTCAGGGACACACAACTGGAAGCCCTCTGAGCACTGAAAGGACAGAAGTCCAGGGCAGTACTCCAAAATGCTTTCTCATTCCAAAACTAGCTCTGTTCCTACAAATTATCTGTGAGAGAACTGAGAAAAAAAAGGGGCTTTCCTGGAAAGCCTGGAGAAACCCTGAGATCACCCTCAATCAGGCAATCACCCTCCTTCCCAGGGTGTCCAGGAAGCCGGGTTCCCTGTGAGCACTGCTGTCATCTGGAGCCCCTCTCACCCTGCCTGCTCCATTTCCAAACTGCAGGATCCCAAATCCATGGGGTATCAGACATCTGTCACCCTGAATGAGCAGAACTGCCCTCCTAAGCCAAGACACAAAGATGCCACAGGGCAACTTTGGCACTTCTCACATCACTTAGTGCTTTTTGCCTTGTAAAATTACGTTCCTTCAAGAGCTGAGTGGTTTGGCATCACCAGAAGTGAGGTTTGAACAGAAAACCTTAACAAAACATTAAGGTCATGGTGTCCTACACCTGACCACAGCTCTTCCAATCCCATTCCACAGACACCTCACTAGTGTGAGTTTCTGCTCTCTGTTAACTGCAGGGACACCAAATCCTTCCTCTGAAACAGAAACCTGATTTGTTTTAACGCCCTGTTCTTGGAAGTCCCCTTTTCAGGGTCAGCTGACAAAGCAAAATGCCATTACACATTAAAAACCCCAAAACAACCCCCAAAAAAAAACCCACAAGAAAGGCATTAGACTACCCACCGATGTCGCTAAGCAGAGAAAGGATTTGACTTTCCTTAAGTCCACAGCAGTTTTCTGGTTTGTTTAGCAGCTGCAACAGAGAAAAAAGATGTTTAGACCCAGAGTGCAACAGGGAAGAACTACATTTTCCATCCCCCAATCACTGTCTTAACGAGCTGTCAACAAGCAGCTTCTGCAATTTCTGACTTTTACTGCACTTGAGGCTTTTAGAGATGACTGAGGTGCCTTCCTAAATTGTTCCAGAATCTGTACACCACCGAAGGACTCATTAGAAATTAAATGATCGGACACTGCAAGTAGAGCTAATTTCCTGAGTATGCAGATGAGGCAATTTCCAAGCAAATCGTGACAGGGATTTGCTGCTTTCCCCCTCTAGAGACTGCTGCTTCCTGAATCCAGCTGCAGTGGAAAGGGAGCATAAACTCTGTTGGGCCATGCACCCCCTGCCCAGGGGACTGCTGAAAGGTTCCTTTATTTTTGGATGTTGCCAATTTGCAGAGTGGCAGTTCCCAGTCAGCAGGGGCAGGAAAGGTTTGGAAGCCCTGGAGGTCCCAGGACACCCTGCAGCAAAGCCAATTACACTGGGTATGAGCAGCCAGGCTATGGAAATGACAAACTCCACCAGGATAAAAGAGTATCTGCCCCTGGGATTGCCCCCTGGTTTCTAAAACACAAGCCTCATTTCCCACGCGTGGCTTTTTTCCCCACTTCCTCACGCCTGTCCCTGGAAAGCAGAGCGCTCTGGTGACACACACAGCGATGATGCCCCTGTTTTTGGTGCATGTTGGAAGCAAAGCAGCCGTTACCTTCCGGAGGTCGCCCCCCGAGCAATATTCCATGGCCAGGAGGGGGACGTCGTTAACCAGGAAGTTCATCTCCTCGGGAACTTCACAGGCTTTTACTACGTTGGGATGGTTCAACCTAAGCACATGGAAAGCTGGGTGAGAACTCTGCCCCCTCTTCTTGGAAGAGTGAGACAACAGACTGCGATCCAGCCATGGTTTATGTTCCTGGGACAGCTTCTGTTCCCCAAATGTGTCCTCTTCAACTAGTACCCTCCAGTATCCAAGTGCATAAAAGCCATACCTTGGGAATACACAAACCAGGGAAGAGCACAAACAACATCTCAAAGTCAAGGTACAGGACTTTGATGATGGGGATCCAGGCTCAAGTTCTGGATTCTTGCACATTCCTGGCAAGGTTGTTACATATGTGTGCCTGCTTTTGCACGTGGGGCCAGATTCCCCCCGGCCCAAGGGTTTTGTAGGAATCCCCATCTATAACTGCACCAGGCAGGTGAAATCCACAAACAGAGGGAAGGATTGATTAATTTCTCCAACTGAATTCAAACAGCTATTTCCTGACTATCTCTAATTTATGCTGCTCTTGGAAATAAATGACATATCCAGACAGAAATGAAGACAAATTACTTCTGTGTACACCCACAGGAGCAGCTGTAGCTGTGTGGCTCAGTGCTTGTTTTCGGTGATCACAACAGGGATCACCAAGCCCTGACTGACTAACTCGGTTTCCCCCCAGCGTCAGGGCACTCGGGAAGCAGGTGAGGATGACAAAGTGACAGCAGGAGCTCGGTAAAGCCCTGAACAGCAGGGGCACTGCAGGCCTTGGGGAGGGCAGCTCGGAGCATCCCCGCTCCCAGGCGTGGGACACAGCAATCCCTGCTCCAGGACCTCTCTCAAAAGGAAGGAGGAATTCACAGGCAAAGGAACAACTCTGAGATCCCAACACTTCCATGAGGCCCAACCCGGCCAGCTGTGGTTCCCAAGTACCTCAGTGACACACTGGGGAGGGATGCTGGGCAGCACAGAGGACGGAGCTTCTCACCAGAATAGATAAGGAGAGTTTATTCTTTACATTCGGGAGCGTGACAGAAAAAGAGAAATTCCAGGCCCACCAGCTGCTAAAACAAACGGTACCGCAGGGTACGGGCACCCCTCCCTAGCCCACTCAGGGACTGACCACCAGCTGTTCCCTCTCTCGGCCAGTTCAGCAGCCCAGGCCCCGGCTGTCCCCACACCATGGTCCCACTCCCTGGCCAGTTCGGGGACCGAGCCCTGATTGTCCCCTTGCCCGGCCAGTTCATGGGCTGACCCCTCTCCCGGCCGGTTCGGGGCTCTCTGACCCCCGGCTGTCCCCTCTCCCGGGCTGTCTGTCCCCTAGCCGGTCCCGGGGCTGTCCCCAGGCTGTGCCCTCTCCCGGCCGTGCCGGTGCGGTGCCGCCGTGCCGTGCCGTGCCATGCCGGGCCGTGCCGTGCCGCCTCGCCCGCACTCACTTCTTCATGATGTCGATCTCATGGCACCAGCGGTCCTTGTTCTTGACGCTGAGCTCCAGCCGGCACGACTTGATGGCCACGCGGTCGCCCGAGTCCTGCGGGACACAGCGCCGTCAGCCGGCCCGGCCCGGCCGTGCCCCCCCCGCCGCCCGGCCCGGCCCCACCTGGTGCTGGTACAGGCACACGTTGCCGAAGCCGCCGGTGCCCAGGCGGTCCCGCATCTCCCAGGGCCCGCAGGCGCCGGCCGGCTGCCCGCGCAGCGCCGCCCCGCCGGGGGCCCGCTCGGGGCCGGCGGGGGGCCCGCCCCGCTCCATGGCCCGGCCGCCGCTCCCGCTCTCCGCCTTTATTGCCGCGTCACCGCCCGGCCCCGCGCGGAGCCGCCGCCGGCAGCGCCGCCTCAGTCCCGGAGGGAGAAGTCGAAGGGCTGGAAGTCGCGGCGGAAGGCGCGGGCCTGCGCCGCCTCCTCGGGCCGCGGGGCCGCGCACTGCCGCCAGTCCGCCCGCTCCGGCAGCGCCAACAGCGCCGCGCTCGCCAGCACCGCCCTGCAACACAGCAGCGACACATCACCACCGGCACAGCATCGCCGCCGGCACAGCATCGCCGCCGGCACAGCATCGCCGCCGGCACAGCATCGCCGCCGCGGGGAGGGGGCCGGGGCTGCACCCACCTGCCGAACTGCAGCGGGAACCGCCCGCGGATGCGGTGGAACAGCTTCTCCCCCGTGTCCAGCTCCACGTAGAAGTACGGCATCCCCGGCTGTGCCACCTGCAGGGACAGCGGCGGGACCCGTTGGGAATCACGGAATCCGTTCGGCTGGAAAAGGCCTCCGAGACCATCCAGCCTAATCTGGGACCCATCACCACCACCTTGTCACCCAGCCCAGAGCACTGAGTGCCACGTCCAGTTGTTGCTTGGACATCTCCAGGGATAGGGACTCCACCACCTCCCTTCCAGTGCCTGACCACACATTACATGGACAAAGGTGGGAAGAGACACTGGCTCTAAGAAGAGAGCAGATGTGTCCTATCTTCTCTCTCTTCAGAGAGCAAAGGTACCTCTTCACAGGCACCTCAGAGTGACCTGCTGGAGAGGGATGGTGGGAGTTCAAACAGCTCCTTCCATAGGGATGGGTCACTTCCTCTGGGAGCACCAGGGGATGATGCACCCTGAGCACTACTGGAATATTTTTTGTGGTTTAATTCTGCAGTGACCGCAGTCATTAAGGGAGAGAACTGGGCAGGTCTGCTCAGACAGGTCTGGTCATTCTTAACCTCAACTGGGTCACCCTGGACTAGCACAGCAGAGTTTTAGAGGAAGAGGCCACGCTCCCATTCCTCAGCTGAGAAATCAGCCTGTCAAAATCAGAACCTAAAACTACCTGATGTGCTGAAAAGAGGGCTGATGTTTGGTACCAGAATGAATAAATTCAGCAAGCCCTGCACATAGCTTGGAATCATCTTTGGCTAAACAATGTATCTGTACATCTTCATGGGAACTTCCTTCGGAGCAGAATCCATCTGGAACATCCCCAAATAAAGTCTACTCTGCCTCCAACAGCTTAACCGTACCCCACGAAGTGACCTCAGGGGGAAACAGGAGCCTAAAGCAGGACAGAGGGAAAGCAACAGGTGAAGTGTTGCCTCATACTTGCGTGATATCCGAGTGCTCTGGGATTTCTAACAATTCAATCTGTTGTTCCTGTGCTTGTGTAATAAAAGACTCTTTAATGTCTTCAGAAGTGCAGAGGTCCAGTGGGACAGGGATCACCTGGAGAGAGAGGGCATTTCCATAACAAGACAAGACAAAGAGGGCCCTTGCAGAAAGCCATCAGTGCATCACTGGAGCTGCTGTGCCCCTCAGTACAGCTCAGCCTCATCACACGAGACAGGGGAGCACCCGTCTCTACAGGCTTAAACTTATGAGATGATTTTTTTTTCTGTAGGAGCTGAACAAATTGCTGAAAACTGAAAGCTTGAAGTTCTCAGCGCTGCCCTCTCCTTTCTGATCTCTGTGGTAGTTCTGGTACAGTTCTGATGCACTCACAGATCTGCCACACACAGAAACCACCACAATAAACCCCTAAGTGACTCTTTCACTTCACGTGGGGTTTATATTCAGTGCGAGTTTATGTTCTCCCAGGGTGACACCCAAACCATACCTGTAGCTGCAGATGCTGACTCCTATAGTTTCTTTCAAACAGGACATATCTCTTTCCCTTGCTTCTGAAAAACTCCTTTAGGGCAGCCTTGTACTTGGTCACTTCTTCCAGCACCTCTGAGGACAAGTCCACCACTGACTGATAGTGCCCAATAGGCAAAATCAGGACATGGTCAGGCAACAAGCCCCCTTTGGCCAGGGCAAGGTAGCACTAGAGTGAAACAATACACACCAGTTACTCCCTGCAAGCAGCACACACTCGCCATGCCGTGGGAGTTTACTCTCCACTCATTCCAGTATCCCACAACCTCAGGAACAGGAGAGTCTTCTCCTTTACGGTGCTTATTAGGGATGGTTTATTAGCAATTTTATTTGAGTTTCTTTTTATGCTGAGTTTATTAATTACTAGAGGAATGAGAGAGAGGGACTGCCAAAGGACAAAAAAAAAGAACTTTTGAATGCCAGAGAATTTCTTGTCTGCAGGAAAGCAGCTGAGTGAACTTCACCACTGTGGCCAGAATTTCTTAACTCTGACACGAAAATCCATTTAAAATTTTAAATTAAGCCTGTGGATAAACCTGTCCCTGTAGCAGTTTGAAGTGGACTGTGCTATAGAGGAGCAATAGCTTTAAGTGAAGTGTATGAATCAATCACTCATTCAATTATTGAATTAATCTCCAAGATGTGCTATGAGATGTTGACCTGGAAGGTATCTTCTGTTTCATCTGTACATAACCAACCTGGGACCAGTCATCCCAGGGAGATCCTGCACAACTCCAGACACAAAGCAAGTCCCAGTTCACTCTGAGCTCTAGCTGGAAACGTTCTGCCAGATGGTAACATAGGGCTGGCACAGCAAAAGGGGCTCTGACACCAGAATCCAGCTCTGCTGCCATAGCAAAACTGGGCCACGCTTCACTTTAAAGAGTTTACACTTATTTCTTTTGTAGAGGAGATACAAAGAAACTGAAAACAAACCCAAGAGCGATTGCAAATAAAGTTAGTTTGGGTTTTTTTTCAAATTGGAGACTGGTATTCTACATTGCCATGTCTCAGCATGACTCTGACACGGGTACTCACGTGTGTGCCGATACTGACGACCAGGTGCTTCTCCACCTCTGGGCTGGCCAGGCAGAACCAGCAGGGCCCCGTGGGCTGTGCTTTTTGGGGAAAGGAAATGAGGATTAGCACGAGGCATATTTGTCAGAACACAGAAGACCTGTTGTTTTCCAGCCACCCTTCCCAGGTGATGAAGTGCTGAAGGTGTCAGAAGGACACAGCTCCTGGAAGCAGGTCTGGCCAGGAGACTGGTGCCTCTGGGAAATTCCAGCAGGAGAGGAGGTTTAAGTCACACCCTGCTGACTGCCATTCTCTAACCTAATGAAAGGGCAGTGATTCCAGGAGTTCAGTAGTTACAGCTCACTAATAAGAAAGCACCAGTAAATTAAAACAAACAAATCCCACTGAGGTAAAATCACTGCCTAGGTACAGACAAGGGCAGAGGCTGTCAAACACACTTGTCAGTTCTGGCCTATTCACACATCAGAACACCTGGATTCACACCCAAATTGCAATACCTGAGCTGAGCTTTGTCACATTCAGAAGCTAGTCTGGTTCAGAGGGTGAATGGCATCAGCCCAGACACAACCACCACGGACCCAATGAGCCTTTAAACTATGCTTTTGACTCTTCTTTCACCTATTGAAACGTATTTTCCCTTGGAAACAGGAGTCCCTTCATCCTCCTGCATTCCCCCACCGTGCCTGGTGCAGTGACAGAGCTCCCTGGCAAACTGACATATCCAGCTCAGCAGCCTGAGGAAGGTGGAGGGACATGATCCAAGGGTTCGAGGGAAGAGCTCAGGAAAAAAGCAGCCTCATACTTACGGGGTTTCTTGGCTTGCTTGGGTTGGGAGTCCCCTCCCTGTTTCCCATCTAAGGGACGTTTCTTTCCCTGATGCTTGTTCAAGTCAAAGAAAAACTGACAAGCTGGTTCTTCCTGTACCGAAAATGAAAAGCAAAGCCCGTTAGATCTGCATCCCAGAGCGTGACAGTACATGCAGGAATTAGAGTTTTCCTGAAGAGGTTTTGTGAAACACCTTCGAAAAGCATCAACATCACAGAATCACCAAGGCTGGAAAACCCCTCCAAGATCATAAAGTCCAACCTGTGACTGATCCCCACCTTGTAAACCAGACCAGAGCACTAAATGCCACATCCAGTTGCTCCTTGAACTCCTCCAGAGATGAGGAATCTACCACCTCCCTGGGCAGCCCTTTCCAATGCCTGACCACCCTTTCTGTGAATAAATTCTTCCTGACTACCCTGGAACAGAATGAACTGAGCTCCCCAAGTAATGCAGCACACATGACACCCTGCCCTGTATCTAACAGGCCCTACTAAAAAATCTGTCCCCATCTTTCTGATAGTTGAAGATTTTAAGATTGAAAGGCCACTCCCCAGAGCCTTCTCTTCTCCAGGCTGAACAGCCCCAGCCCCCTCAGCCTGCATCCAGAGCAGGGATGCTCCAGCCCTCGGAGCATCTCCATGGCCTCTTCTGGACCTGCTCCAGCAGCTCCACGTTCTGGTTATGCTGGGGGACCCAGAGGTGGAGGCAGCACTGCAGGTGAGGTCTCACCGGAGCAGAGCAGAGGTGCAGAATGACTCAGCCCGCCCTGCCCAGGCTGTGGGATGAGCCCAGCACACGGCTGGTCTAAGAAGGGGCCCACCAACCAACTCCCACTCATCGCATCCGTACAGCGGGGCTGTTGCAAACAGTTTACACAGAACCCTGGAGTTTTTTCAGAGATATCCCAAAGGGAGAGCCAAACAGTGTTCCAAGAGTGCCCAGAGGGAGGAGCCTAGGGCGGTACCTCTGCCTTGGCCTTGGCGGCCTCCTTGCGCAGTTTCCGGTAGGGATTTTCGGTGACGTCCTGCGGCTGCTTCACCAGCTCCACGGGATCCATGGAGCTCATGGGCACGATGCTGAAGGCATAGAGGTACTGCAACAAGCACAGGGGGGCTCAGGGGCAAGCACTGTTCACTGAAGGGATCATACACCAGCACAGCTCAGCACATCAGGGCATGGAAAAACACCCCCACTGTGCCAGGGTCCCACCCAGTGCAACCAGGAGTTTATGGAGCGCTCCCAAGGTGCTGCTTTCACTTTAAAGAAAGACGAATAGCACCAGTGTATCCCACTTGATGGAGACACAACCTAGATACTTGCCCATTTCCAGGCCTTCTTTCTGTACCTATTGCTCAAGTGAGATAGACACCTCCACTTCAGCCAAGCTTTTAAGTCCTGATGCTGTCCCTCAGTTAGCCAAAGCTAGGCTTACTGCCCTACAACTGTACTTGACAAGAGAAAAAAGATTCAAGGGCATCAGTACCTTTTTCTTGCTTGTATTGCCAACATCAGCAAGTGCAATGAACCTGGTCACGTGCTGTGGGGTCTCCTGTAGCACTGTGTGATTTCTGTAAGGAAGCAAAACATGGCTCTATAGGTACATAAAGCACTGAAAAGACACTCAGACAGCACGTCAGCCTTCCTGTGTTCTTTCAAAACAGAAGTCTTACCGGAAAACAAATGAGATTTCACAAGATTTTACAAACCTGTAAGGAAGTCTTTCGTAATAGGCCTTCTCCAGGGCAGCAAAATGGTACCTTGGTTTGAGACTTGCAGCCAGATCTGATACCAACTTGGAGCCACATTTCTTGGTGTCTATTTCTCCCTGCAAAATACAAGCCAAGTTTTATGTGAACCTGTCAGGGTGCAGCCAGAAGAAACAGTGTTATACAGAACTACATGTTGGATGTGTAGTGTAGTGGTTGCCATTCCCTGGAAGTGGGGGGAAAAAAGCCCAGAGGGTTTTATCTTTTATTGCCAACCAGAGCCTACTCATTTATTCCACTCTGTGTACTCAGAGTTTGCATCCATTTGTTTCATCAATCCAAGTCTGTCACGATCTCAGTGCACAAGGGAATCTTAAAAGACATGCATTATCATCTTATAAGAGAATGCATAACATAAGACCAAGATCAGGGAAGATTTTTTATGCTTTTACACTGAGGATCTTTTTGGATGTTGGAAGAAACTGAGAGCCCCACTCACCGCGCTGTTGGCAAAGGTGCCCACGTCTCTGGGCCAGGGGAGGTCAGCAGGATGTCCACTCCTCTGAAGTTTGGGGTGGATAGCAGGGATGTTTTGAGCTCTGCCACGTCCTTGGCACTGAAGCTGTGGGCGGGAGCCGGCTGCTCCTGCGCCTCCGTGCCGCTCAGGTACGCGATGTGCAGCCCCGAGCAGCCGCTGAACACGCCCCGCCGGCCTGCAGGGACACAGCCACTGCTGCTCCAGGGACACAGCCACCCACTGCTCCAGGGACACAGCCACCCACTGCTCCAGGGACACAGCCACTCACTGCTCCAGGGACACAGCCACCCACTGCTCCAGGGACACAGCCACTCACTGCTCCAGGGACACAGCCACTGCTGCTCCAGGGACACAGCCACCCACTGCTCCAGGGACACAGCCACTGCTGCTCCAGGGACACAGCCACTGCTGCTCCAGGGGCACAGGGCCAGGCCCAGCACTCCTGACACAATGACACTGCCCTCACAGGCAGCTTGTCTTCTGTGCCCGGAGTGAAGTCCCCGTTTAGCTCAAACCCAACCCTGAGGACAACAGAGCTGCTCAGACAACCCCCAGCTTCTTTACTCCCTGAAAGAGCTGCTCAGACAATCCCCAGCTTCTCTCTGCTCCCTGAAGCATCTGCTCAGACAATCCTCTGTCTTTTCTCTGCTCCCTGAAGCAGCTCCTCAGACAACTCCCAGCCTTCTCTCTCCTCCCTCCTATCTTGCTTCCCCAAAAATCCACCCAAAAGCTGAGTGAAAAAAGCCAATGCAAGTCCAACTACTTGTTAGATTGTTGGTCAATGGTTTTTCCTTTTAGCTTTGGTACAGTTTCATTACCTTCAGCTGACACTTGTGGCTGTACTGGAGTAGCAAAGGTAACACAGCAAAATCATATTGAAGGACAAAACCTTTCCCACACAGAGAGAGCAAAGGAGATGCTCTTAAAGAACAGGCTTTTTCAGCCACTGTTCCTTTTGGTTGGCAAGTGCAATGTTAGAGGAACAAAAACAAAAAAACACAAATAATCAAGGCTTTCCTTCATGTTTTACACAGATTTTTGTATTGAGTTCAACTCCAGTCTGAACCACAGGGAAAAAATGCCACCTTGAAACTTCTAGAAAAAGGAAAGTGTTGAATGGGAAGATCAGAAAACACTCGTGAAAGCCCCAGGAAGCAAATGCAACTCCCTGATCCCAAAGCCCCTGCAGCCTTACCCAGGTAAGTGATGTTCTCAGCCAGCTCACAGCCACTGACGTCTGGAAAATAGCTCAGGGTGTCCTGGTTGTTGGCACCCAGCACGTAGGTTGGGATTGGAGCTGAGAGAGAAAACCTCCTGCAGTCAGTCAGCTTTAATTCCAGTGCCCCAGCACAGGTCCAGTCCACACTTCCCAGGAATCACAGCGGAAAGCATGTCCAGGCAGACCTCCCACCCCACCCTTGCTCCCTAAGGAGCACCAAGTGCAGGACAAGGACCCTTCCTGGAGAACAAGTCCCCAGACCTGGAGTAAGATTAGCTCCAAAGTGATCCACAGCCCTAAAACGGGGACGTTCCCCAGGCCATGCTGACAAACACCGGAGCACAGAGGCAGGGACACGACCCTCCCTCCTTACCTTTCTTGGCCCCCGTGCGGTACTCGGCCCATTCTGCCTCCGAGGAAGAGCCGAAGAAATTCCCGACACACAGGAGCATCTGAAAGCACAGAGAAAGGCAACCTTTGCCGCTGGAGCACGGACAGAGGGCACACAACGCTTCGCTGGAATATCAAACACTGCGACTGACCCGGGCCCGCCATCCCGGCACGGCAACCCCCCGGGAACGGGAACCCCCGGCCCCGCGCCCCAAGCCCCCGGGCCTTACGTCGAAGCGGCCGCTCTTGGCCTGGACGGCGCGGACCCGCCCGAAGATCGCATCCAGCCGCCCCTCCACGTCGCCACACGCCAGCCTGCGGGACACCGCGCGTCAGCTTCAGCGGCCTCCCCCCTCGCGGCCACCCCCGTTCCGTCCCATCCCCTCCCCTCCCTTCCATCCCATCCCATTCCATTCCATCCCATCCCATTCCATCCCCTCCCGTCCCGTCCCGTCCCGTGCACCCACACGCGCAGCGGCGCCGCCATGGCGGAAATGCCCGTCGCGAACCGCCCGCCCCTTCCGGGTGCTCCCCGCTCAAGGTTCCGCCGCGTCCCGCCCGGGCACCGACCAATCCCGGCAAAAACACCGGGAATCACCGGGAAAGAATAAATCCCGCTGTCCGCAGGGAAGCGCGGGGGAGGCCGGTCTGCCCCTGGGGACCCTCGGGTGTCAGAGGGATGCGAAGGGCACAGCAGGCTGGAGGGGGACGGGAAGAGTTTTTGCTGGAAATGCAAAGCGAGCTGAGCCAGCCACGGCTTCCTCGGGTGAAAAGGCAAAATCCCAGCGGAAAAAAATGGAAAGAATGAATTGAAGTATTTTCTATTAACACCCTTTGATTACTGCGTCCTTGTCTTTCGGTGTTACCACTGAAATTTGGAAAGTGCGTGAAGAAGTGATCTGGTAAGGGAGGGGTCAGTGTCAGAACTGGCTGAAATGATCACTGCAGGTGACTACTGAGCTACTATTATAATAATTATTATATGTTTATTATACATATTGAGATATATTTTAATATCTTTTATTACTACACTATCATTATTATTACCACCACTTAATGAGGTTGTGAACACTGACACCAGGAGAACTCTCCAGTAATGGTAGACAACAGCTTTTATAATATATTTATAATGCTTTATAAATAATAATGTCTTATAATCAAATAATACCTTACAGAGGTCTTTTTAAATGAAATTTTTAGGTGTTTTTCCAATGTCTGCATTCTCTAACCCAGAGCTGAAATCTGAGGTGATGCTGCTGGAGTTTATTCCCTCTTTGATATCCAGAGTGAAACGTTCTACATTTCAACAGTCACAGGAAACGTAAAATAACATCTTTTATTTTATGTATTTCTCCGGACCTTTCAAAGTGCGTGCGCTGCTTGTGTGGCATTTAATTATAGGGCCCCTGAGTTTTGTTTGGATATGTACAAACACTTTCCTGTTGTCACAAAGGGCACAGCCTGGAAGGAAAAAAAAAACCGTGTGAAAAGTGAACCTTCCAGTATCCCAGGTTGTCCAACCTCGTCTCGGACACTTCCAGGGATGGGGCAGCCACAGCTTCTCTGGGCAACCTGTGCCAGGGCCTGGGCACTCCGAAGGGCCAGCAGAGGTGCTTGTTTTCCATCGGGGCCGAGCGGGAGCCCCCCGAGGGGCTCCTTTTCTCCGTTTCCCCAGCAGTAACCGCACCCGGCGCTCCGGGCCCTCGGTCGCACGCGGCGCTCACGGGCCGGGGGCTCCGCTCACCGGCGGCTCCCCGGGCACCGAACACGCCGCGGACGCTGCGCCTCGCTCCATGCCCCTGCTCCGCGAGCGGCTCCAGAGAGTCATGAACGCTGACCCGCCGCAAACCGCTCACTCCCACCCCTACCCCCATCCCCAGGGCTCCGCGGGGCGGGGCCGCCCCTCAGCCACCTCCCCTCAGCGTGGCGGCACCGCCGCTCGCCATGGCAACCCTTCCGCCTCCCCTCAGCGCCGCGGCCCCTCGGCCGCCCCTCAGAGGCGCCGCCGCCCCGCCAGCACCGCGTCGCCTCAGCGAGGCAGCCCTTCAGCCTCCCCTCGTCCCGGCGGCCCCACCGCCACCCCTCCGCGGCGCCGCCGCGCCCCCGCCGCTTCCCGCCGACATGGCGGTCCCTCCCCTCAGCCACACCGCCCCTCAGCCGCCCCTCGACATGGCGGCCCCTCCCCTCAGCCGTACCGCCCCTCAGCCGCCCCTCGACATGGCGGCCCCTCCCCTCAGCCGTACCGCCCCTCAGCCGCCCCTCGGCATGGCGGCCCCTCCCCTCGGCGGCCCCGCCCGGCGCAGCCTCCGCTCGGCAGGGCGGGCGCGGGGCGGGCCGAGCGGGCTGTGTGGCGGCGGTCCCGGCGCGGCGGGATGGCGCTGCCGCAGCAGTGCGAGGCCGCGTTCGGCACGGCGGACCTGTACGGCGCGCTGGGCGTGCGGCGGGACGCGTCCCCGCAGGAGATCCGCCGCGGCTACCACCGCGCCTCGCTGCGCCTGCACCCCGACCGCGTCCCGCCCGAGCAGAAGGAGGAGGCCACGCGCCGCTTCCAGGTGAGCGCGGGAGGCGGCGGCGGGAAGGCGGGAAAGAGGCCGGGGCACCCCGGGTGACCGATCCACCGACCCCCGAGTGACCACCGCACCGCCCCACAGGTGACAGACCCACTGCCCACACCCCAAGTGACCGACCCCGAGTGACTGACCCACCATCCCCTCGAGGGAGCGACCCACTCCCCCCCCGCTCCCCCGTGACTGAGTCGTCACCCCAACTGAGTGACCACCCCACTGACCCCCGAGGGACTGACCTTCCCCGGAGTGACCACCCTACCAGCCCCCAAGCGGTTGCCCCACTGCCCCACAAGTGACTGACCCACCAACCACTCCCCCGAGTGACCGACACACCACTCCCCAAGCCGCCGCCCCCCCAAATGACCGACCCACTGCCTGCCCCCCCGAGTGACGGATCACCCACTCCCAAGTGGCCGCTCCCCCGAGTGAGCGATGCCCCCCAAGTGAGTGTCCCCCTCGAATGACCGGCCACCCCCGTGTCCCGCAGATCCTGGGCAAGGTGTACGCGGTGCTGAGCGATGCGAAGCAACGGGCTGTGTACGACGAGACCGGCACGGTGGATGAGGATTCTGAGGTGCTGCAGGGAGACAGGGACTGGCTGGAGTATTGGCAGCTGCATTTCAAGGTGAGAGCGGCACTAGAAGCTGGAAAAAACCTACAGTGTTTCTTTTTTTTTATGTGTTCTCTCTTAAATTCTTCTGGTGAGCAAGTCCTGTACCTCGTGGAGTTACTCGTGTAATCTCTTTGCTCCAGCTCACCGTAAAAGACATCGAGGACTTCCAGAAGAGCTACAAGAACTCAGAGGAAGAGCTGGAGGATGTGAAGGCAGCGTACCTGAACTTCAAGGGCGACATGGATCGGATCATGGAGTCCGTGATGTGCGTGGACTACACGGACGAGCCGAGGATCCGGGAAATGATCGAGCGAGCCATCGACTCCGGGGAGCTCCCGTCCTACAAGGCCTTTGTGAGGGAGTCGAAGAAGAAAATGATGTCCAGAAGAAGGCGGGTAGGTTGTGTCAGTTGTTTACCACAGCCTTTTTATCTCCCTCGGCAGAAATAAGTGAAGCTGTTCCTGAGATGTTTGCCCCAGGATCGCCGAGTTCCACACCTTGCTCAGCATTCACATTTGGTCACCTGTGTTCATCACACCCCACCCCAAATCACTGTGAAATGCTATTTTTTTTCCTTCTTTTATTTCATTATTATGCAGAATGGCTTATTACTCATATCCCTGCATTTGTCTACAAAGCTGTGAGTTGTTGGAGTTAACAAAAAAAACCACCAAAACAACAAGTGGTGGAAATACATTTTGCTTGACTTTTGGCAGGTGTGTTTTGGACTAGATGTACTCTTGTCCAAATGCTTTGTAGAGTGTTACATGCACATCACAGTAACCTGTAACTTAATGTAGGATCTGCTAAGACAAAGAAAACATGGATAGGGGAACAGGGACAAACGTCACATTCAACACTGTGAAAGAGCAAAAAGACTTCCCGCTGCGCTAAATGGTGGAACCTTTGCCTGATTCCTCATCTGTGGCCAAACTTGGAATCCCTTTGTGTTTCCTTGCAGCTCTTTGTACACAGATGCCAAAAAAAAATAGGCATTTGGTAACTCCTGTAAGACTTTGTCAGATAACACGCAAAATACTTTTTTTTAAAAAAAAAACTGTTTGCTTTTTCAGGCAGAAAAAGAAGCTAAAGAGGCAAAAAAGACTAAAGATGAACTGGGCCTTGGTGGAGAAAATGACTTGCAAGCGCTGATTCAAGTAAGGCTCTTTCTGTTTGCTGCAGATAATTATGTTACTGGCTTAAAATTGTGTTTTCCCTGAGCATCTTTGATTTTGGATCCTTGTAATTCTTCTGAGTTCCTGAGGGTAAAACCTTCACGTTAACCATGTACTTTAATTAGTAGACTATGGTATGGATTTTATTACTTGTGTCCCTTTAAAAATTAACAAAGTTATTCCATGTTAGCTCAAAATATTTAATTTGTGGTTTCAGGCAGTTAGGGAGTGTTAATGATGGTACTAAACTTTCTGTAGACTGTATTCCCTGTTTAATATATTCCAGATTTTATGTAGCTGTCAAGCTTCAATAGAATAATCTGCATTGGGAAGTTGTAAGAGCTTTGAATTTGGTTGGTTTTCTTTTCCCCCTCCCCAGCGCCGAAGCAAAGATCGAGAAAGGGAAATGGATGACTTTTTTGCCCATCTGGAAGCAAAATACGGGAATAATGCTAAGAAAGGAGGAAAGAAAACTCCAGCCAAGAAGAGAAAGACATAAGGAGCGACGGAGGCTGAAGTACCGGGTTTTGTTTTGTATGGAAACGTGGATTTGGGAGAACTTGGGATTCTTTTCTGGGCTCCTGTTTTGGGCTGTGTGCACTGACTCACTGTGACTGGGAGGCATGACAGGGAAGACAAAGCATTCCTGTGCTACTGTTTCAAACCCTTTGGGTGCTCTTCAGTTGAGATCCACGTGTGCTATTCACACAGTTCTTCCCTAACAAGCCTCCTGCTGTTTTTAAAGGTCTCTGCACATCAGCTCAACAGGTGTTCTTCAGATGTTCCGGTAGTTTTCTATAGTTTGGAAAATTGCAGATTTAATAAACGAGAAGGTGTTTTTTTTTTTTGCAGAGTTCTGTGCTGTTGCTTCCCCAACTCTCTCTGTTTGTTTTCTAAGTAGCTGTTCCAAACAAACTGATTGTGTTGGTTCTTCTGATTTCGGTCGAGTAAATCCTGCACACTTGCACACTGGATCATTTTGCAAAGGCTTAGGAGCCTTAGGTGAGCACTTTGAAGGCCCTCAGTGCTCAAACACCAGCATTCAGGTGTTTTCCCTGGGGGAAGCCAGAGGTAGAGGGTCACTCTGTTCTCTTTTACTTGTCTCCTCCTAAAAATTGCCCTGATTCTGAGAGAGTACAGCACAGCATTGTGTTGGGTAACACAGGGCTTGAAGGTTACTTCTGTTACACAGAATAAATAAAATAACAGCCCATGATCAGTCTCTGGTGTCAACCATCTGTACAGAAAACACGAGATGAGCCTCAGGAGGAGACTGCTTCCCTTTTTAATTTAAACATGCTGACTCCTCTAGGCTATAAAACACTACATTATGTTCCCAGAAGTCTATTCAAGTTTATTTGTCTGGTTTTGTAACTCTTGTGCTACAGAGAAAACTCACTTGGTCCCTGAGGAGTGGCACGGACACAAATGGGACGCTTATCTCCAGTTTGCCTGACAGAACTGACACACTGTACAATATTCCAGCAGTCCCAAGTGTTGGGAGAAATTGTATTTTGAAATGGTTTGGTGAGTAGAGGCCTCTGGTTAGCATCAAGTTCTCTCTCTGCAAATTTGAGAGGTTTAGATTGAGATCAGAGCTGCTTTTTTTTGTTTGTTTGTTTGTTTTCACCTACTGGAAGTGCAAAGGCAAGTTAGCCCAGTTACATTTGCACAGTTCCCTGTTTTGGATGAGAGCATGCTTGGATCAACTGGACTCAAGATCTTCAATACTGATTAAAAATTATTAGCTAACATAACTTGGAGTAGGGAGACAGGGGAGATACTTCCTAAAGAATACTGACAAGTTTTTGTCCACTATGAACAGTAATTTGAAGAATAATAAGGAAATTTAGGAAAAGAAGTGCTCTTTAATAGGACTAGAAAGGAACAACTGTTTTTGTGCAGTGTCCTAAGTTTGAGTACAGCCAGTGATTATCCTCACCTTGTTTTTACACACTTCAGTCTGTTTGGGAGGAAGACCTTCAACTAATGACTTGTTTTGAGAAGCCTGTACTTCACGGGGTTTTGTCTTATCTGGAGCCACAAGGGCAACTGCAGCAAACCCCTCCTTCAGGTCTGTCACATGGTGCAGGCACAGCTGCTGAAACCTCCGCTGCATCTGTGGCTTGGGGAGAGCAGAAATTTTGGGTAATTACAGGTATTTTTGAAAGGGGGAGACTGAGCCGTTCTGTGAGATTACCATAAACTATCTCACCAGGAAGACAAGTGTATTTTCTTGCAGTAGTGTGTGAAACTACTTGTAGTTAGAGGCTTCTTGCTGCCTGCTAAACCTCCTTCAGTCACTGAGGAAGAGGTATAAGGTTATTAAATAACTCAGGAAGAGGCAGTGGTGTGCTACCCTTTGGAGCTGTCACTTCACCTGCTTTGCTACCTTAGTCCTCCACACCTGTGTCCAAATACCTGCTGCAACTACTACAGGATCCACCACTTGCCTAAGCTGAGCTGTAGAAGCAGAATCGAGTGCAGTGCTTGCTTTTCCTAGTACAATATTGCTTTAAACATATGTGAATATATAAATACAGCTTAAAAAAAATTTACATTACTACTTCTGTGGAGCTAATGGAAAAATGAGCAGGTTCTCCAGTACCTGCCTTGTAAGGACATGAACCCATCACAAACCTCACAGAAAAACAGCAATGACTGAGAGTGGTTGCTGGATTTCCTAGGAGTCAGGCTTTCCTAGAGCATCTTCACCCTTCCACTGGAGTGTCACTTTCTTCTACTGGTAGAAAAATGGAATGTTTAAGTGTGCCCTTCTAATCTTTGGCAGCTGCTGCTTAGGTTTATATTTATATAAAAATAACTATTTGTAAGGAAGGGTGTTTGAAAACTCTCTGTAAACAACGTTGACCTTGCTGGGAATGAGAGAGAGGTGGTGGTTCATGACTCCAGGGATGGATGGATGGATCAGACACTTCTCCATGGCACCTCAGAACCCCTGTTTGCTTTTTGTGCCTGATCCACTTCGACTGTGGCCTTTCACAGAACCACGTGGCAGGAGACCTAATAAACAGAGATCATGGACAACTTCAAGACTTCTGAAAGGTATTAAAACTAAGCACCAAATACATCTCCTTTAGCTTCAAATTAAAATGCCTTTTTTCAGTCTCTTTATTCTAAGACATGGCTACCAACTGCATTATTTATAACTTCCAAAAGGGGTAAAAGTTTGTGCTTGCCAAGTTGCTGCATTGCAGGGAACTACTGAATTCCTTGATATTTCCCCAAGTATTCAAGACTATAAAGTTCTGCTAATTTAATTTTTTTTTTTGTTAATACAGCAGTCATAAAACTCATCTTGCTTTTTTTGGTGGGGGGAGCAGATATTTATTTTAATTTCAGCAGGAGTCCCTCCTTGCTTGTTTAAAACCAAATTACTTCAGTTTAGTGCCTTTGTTAAATTGACTCTTGTACAATTGGTATTAGTGGTAGGAGGCCATTCAGCTACTAAACAAGCTGGAACACCCCTCATGTGCTCTAATAATCACTCATTTACTTGCTACCTTAACTTTTGCAGCTTCCATTAACTTTTGCAGCCTCAATCCTATCGTGTCAGCATGTTTTTATGGGGGAAATCCTGACAGCCCCATAAGGAATGACACAGTACAAGCAACTCTGACTTCAGAGGGTGCACGTGAATTGTCCTGGCTTTCAAATATATTTTGACTCGATCTAATACATATCTAGTACAGATCTAGTAAAAGCCCTTCCAGATACAGTGCAAATTAGTTTCTTTTGGACATAATGCAATTTTTTTTTCAGTTGCATAGTTGAGCAGAAGGAAAAACCCCTTGGGCATGAAGTAGATGCTGCTGTTTCTGTTGAAGTTGGCAACTGCTGCTTTTCACTTTGAAACAGAGGCACTGGGGCAGATGACATTAAGCTTCCTCAAACGATTTTAAATACTTGGTGGATAACAAAAAAACAAAACCAAACTGCACCCACCCACACTCTGGAATAGAGTGGGATACAGCCAGGATAAAACTTGTATAATGGAAAATTAAAGGCATGAACAGAACTTTGAGAAACCTCCTTGATGCATTACCTGGGGAATGTATCCCTGCAGGAAATGCATCCCTGTCCCAAAAGCCCACCCCTTGCTTGATCTTACTAAATCCTGTGCCTGAGGAACATACCTGAACCTGCTGATGCTCTGCTTGTCCAAGATTGATTACTGTGATCCGTGACGGTGCAGGAACGGCGGCGCTGGGAATCTGCCTGAGAAGGCAGGGAAGAAATGTAAACATCGAGATTAAAATGCAGCTACAAACTATTTGCCTACTTGGCAAGATGCTGTAAAGGCCTAAGTAAAGCTTTAAGTTTGAGGAGGGTTAAATCAACTTTAGGAGTAGAAAATCAAGTTTTTCTAACGCTTATTTGGAATAATCACTGGACCAGTTAAACACATTCTGGGAATTGTTTCAAAAAAGACTTCAGGAAGTGTGTACTCTCACAACTGCTGAGTCAAGAATGTTGAATTAAGCAGCTGTTTAAAAGCTATCACTGAAATTGTAGCTTTTGAAGCTTAGATAAAAATAATTTGTTGGATAGGACAAGATATCAAGTAGATACCTACAAAGACAAGTAGAGTAGGTGCTTATTGTTTGATACTGAAACAGACTGGGCAGTGATTACTGTTCATTCCCAAATCACCTTCTGCAGTAATTAATAATGATCTGGTGTAATTTGCCATGCTTTACCAAGGAGGGGTTGGTTGTGTTAGGCCTGGAGAAAGGATCAGGTAGGAGGAGCTGCTCCTGGAGCTGCTGGTGAGCATCGTCTTGTGTTGTTACACTGTGAGCACGACTTGAGTTCCCTCGAGGTTTCTGCAGGGAAGAGTAACACAGTTATGGCTTTCTCTCACTGCAGCAGCACATTGGCAATCCTTAGCCTAGGAATTAAAGCTAATTTTCCACATGAATCATTTTGCAGCCTAGTTACAAGGAGGAAAACATTCTGGCATGAATGAGAATCAAGCAGGCAACTGTGGGTGATGTTGTTAGTCAAAACTGCTGTGGCATTTTTTGTGCCTCTATTTGACCGGCTGTCGCCAGGTAACAAAAAAATTGGGACTCTTGGGCTTGGTAGTTTGATCAGCAGGGATTACAACTTTAGACTACTCAGTAATGAAATGGCATTGTCATTCCTGTTACCATTTGCCTCTGGGATCCTGTGGTGCTCCCACGCTCCGCCACGCTGGAGGTGGCAATAGGGGGTAGGGGGTGATTCCGGTTCAGCAGCAGTGGGGAGGGGGAGGTCAGCTGCTCCTGTGCAGTCAGACTGAAAAGCACCAGTAAAAAGAGAGAAAAAAATACAGTTTATACGTTTGGCACGTGGAAAGGGATAATATTGTCAGTTTGTTCGGCCTTCTGGAGTTGGCTGTTCTGTTAAGAACACCTTAGAAAAGCTTCAGAACATTTTAAAAACCACTTTCCTAGTGCTCTCTACATTTAAAAATATATGGTATTAAAGGTGAGATGTTAATATTCGTTAGACTGATTGAAGCCTGAGGAAAGGGAGGAGGAGCATAAAATACTGGAATTAGAAACATCAGTTGTGGAGGGACAAGGAATAAGCCTCTAAACACTACGTGACAAGAAAATAACAGGCTCGGTGAGTTTATACATGAAGTGCAAAACTAAAAGGAAACTACATCGATTTACAAAACACGGGATACAGAAGTATATCAAAGCCCTGCATTGTTTCCTGATACCCTGTGGTCCCTGTAAATGTGCAAAATGAGATGTTTTAGATGTGACTGAGGGGTTCACTGAGTGCATTAAGAGCCCTTTGGTCAGTCAGATAACCTATTTTAACATCTTCATAGCCCAGTCTGGGCTAGGATAGCAACGTGCAGTTTCTCCTCTGAAACCTGCAGACTTTTAAATTCATCTTGAAAACAGGCTCCAGAAAAAGAAAAGCATGTCAAGAAAGAGATGGTGGTGTTGACTTTGCTTGTGCTGGGCAAACCGAGGTGCAGAAGCACCTCTGTGTGTCCGTGATGCACTGAATCGCAGCACGGTGAACACCAGCCTTAGCCACTCAGGGCAGTTGTGCTTTCATGGGCAGCTCCTTTCTCTAACCAAACGTTCCTCCTGCCCATCTGCATGTTTTTTAATGCCAGCTGGGCTCTCTGCACTGGTTAACCGGCAGGGAGGGGCTGGGTTGGGGACGTACAGCCGCGCTGTGCTGCTGGCGTCGTCCCCGGAGCGCGGGGTGCCGGTGCGGGGGTGGCTGCCAGAGATGGGGTGCAGGGTCCGTGGCGGGGGGTTCCTCCTCCTCGTGGAGCGCGACAGGGATGATGTGCTGAGCTCCAGGGCACGATTTGGCCACGTTCTGATGGAGAGGATGGAGCTGGAACCTGGCCGTTTGTCATCCAGGTCCCTGACAAAAGACCAACAGGGAGATGGTCAAAGTGGTTCTGTTCCCAAAGTACTCACCCACGTGAGGCTTTAATCATAAAATATCTGGACAGAAACAACGTGTTCTCATTTTCTAAAACAGAACTATATAATACTGTTTCACTGTATATCAACACTTCATTTTTCACAGAGGACAAATACACAAACTAGCAGGGAATTAACTGAGAAGGGCTTTCTCCGGTGTGGGAATTTATCTCACAAAGGTTTGGGCTGAGTCCCTCTCACTGTGACAACGGTCTGCTTTACAACAGATGATCTGTAACTCTTACAGTGTTTTCTCCACCACAGGCAGGTTCCTCTGGTGTAACTGGATCCCGTGGATCACCATCAAGCCGTTCAGATTCCGCTGAGAGCCACTACTCGACCCTTGAGAGACACTGACCTGAAATTTAAAAAAGAATAAGTAAATTGCTGCTTAGCAGAGATATAATTACAGATTTTGTATATAATTTTGGAGAAAAGCTATTAATTTCTTCCATGACATCCAGATACATACTGACTTTTATATTATTTCCCCATCTAAGACAAGCATCTTAGCAGTCTTTTTTTTTTTTTTTGGCAAATGGTAGTGGTTAAAAAATGTATCCTAACACTTCATATTTTCCAGCTGAGCAGCTCATTTGCATGACAGGATCTTCCAACAATTACTATAACCTGAAGTCTTACAAAACTAATTTTGAGGGCATGTTCACATTTTGTACCTACAAGTACAGGCTGATCTGGAAAAACATCAAATTCCACCCACCAAAACAACAGAAACCAGAAAATAGCAGAGCTTTAATCCCTCCAGGATACATACTTGAGGTGTTTTTCTTCTCTTTTTGCTTTTGCGGCCACATCTGGGTTTTGGGCACTACACACACAGTAAGGGAACACGAGGAACAGGCAGGGGTAGAAATAAAGGAGAGAGAAACAAGGACAGAGATGAATTAAAATGGAATAAACAGGTAACACTTTGGTGCTCACCACTCCAGGAGCAGATCAGCCAAAGCAGATTATGCAGTTAAAATCAGTGTCTGAGAAAAAAAGCTGGTTTAGAGCTGCCCTGAGATTTGTCCCCTGTCGCCTGATGAAAGACGCTGGTGAGAACAGGATCCCACACACACGGTCCTCAATCTGACCATTAACGTCAAATATTATTAAAGTATAGAAAAAACTACGTCATTAATCAACATGGTTGTCCTATACATACATAAAATACTAAGTTTTAAAGAGAGAAGTAAGTAGGAATTAACACTTGCAACTGAGTAATAAAAGGACTTAAGTGGACAGTCAGCATTCCCACAAAGCCCAAACATAACCCAGGGGCTGCCGTCCTCCAGCGTGTTTGCTGAAGTAGCACAGTATTGATTCATCCCTCCACAAAGCAGGGGCTAAAAATACTTACCAGATTTGAGGTCACCGAGGGCGTTTTCGTGTGTGGCACACGAGGTAACAGGGCTGGCAGAGGATCGAGCTGCAGAGGGCTTCTGGCACCTGCCCGGAGTGTTTCTACTGTTATGATGTTCTTCTCATCATCTGTGCAAAGCAACAGAGAGTTCCTGTCAATACAGGCTGCTGGCACTGCTAGCTGTGGACAGTGCTATCAATCCTAATGTTTATAGAGAGTGCTCTCGGATGGTAAATTCTGCTAAATCTTTTGAAGGCAAATCTCACACTGTCAACCTTTTTATTCCCACTGAAGAGATCATCCCCCACCACATCTCTCCCCCACTGCCTCCTTGCAAAACCAACTCCCTGAAATCTTTTTTTCAGCCTTCCCTCGAGCTGTGATCCTTACCAGAGGCTGATCCTTCCCAGTGCCTGCAGATCAGTTCTTCCATGCAGCCCAGCACTTCGCTCCACACATCATCAAACACAAAGGTGAGCACGGAATCCTTCGTGCAGGAATATGGAGAGACGGGAGGAAACCCCAGTTTCCTTCTGCCAGAGGACAGGCCCGTTCTCCTCTCGTGCAGCTCCTCCTCCCTGGAAAAATGTAAGCACTACCTGCACCACAAACACATCTCCTTTGTCCCCTGCATTTATTTGTAGTTCTTCCACCAACCTGAATTAAGCCATGACTGAGACAACCACCTATGGCTGTACACCCCGATTTCCCTGAACAAGAATGACTTAAGTGATACTTCACAAATAATGAATAATTTACCGATAAGATCAAAGTCCTATTTAAAAATAAGTATTCATAGTTACAGTGATATTTCTTCATCACATTGTTAAGCTCCATATCTAATGTCACTACAGAATGCTGAAGACAAGAGAAGATATTATTTGCTGCAGCAATGTCTCTCTGGCCTGGTCAAAGCAAGACAAGTAACAATTTAAATTTAATGGCCCATGCAGCTAAGTGGTTTTAATTATTAAAGCCAATTAAGTAGTTAGGAACTGACAGTATACCCTCCAGAGTCCTTACCCAGGCCATATGTTCACATTGTTGGGTGGAATAAAGTAAAGGGACAAAAAGATAAAAAAAGAGTGGTAATTGTTTCTTGGAGAGCATCAAATCCACTCTTAGTTCTCAAATTACCACTGAAAAATCTGGAAAAGATACAATTCTACCCAAAATGACAGCACAAAACCAAAGCAGCATAAAAAACAATAATGAATTTGACTGTCTTTAATATTCAATACTTACACATCTCTGCAGTCAAATGCCAAATATTCCTCCACTATGCCTTCGGAGAGAATTATTTCCTCTTCCCCTTCGTCACTCTCTGAGGAACACAAGGTCGGAGACTTGGAAGGGTCGGCCTTTTTGTGAACAGGAGTAACAAAAAGAGGGACCTTCTTGCCAAAAACACTAAATCTGAACAGGTGACAGTTGTCAGAAAGCAGAAATGAAAACAAGTTGTTATTCCACTTCAAAAATAACCGAGAGACAGCATGGTACATAAGGCCAAGGGAGACCAACAAATTGTTCATTACAGTACAGACTTTTGCTCTGGGTATTTTTTAATTCTTGCTAAGGAACTCGAGATCTTCAGGGAAAAAAACCCCAACATTTTGAAAACAAGCGTTTTGAAACATTAAATCATAATAGTACTAAATCATAATAGCCTTGTGTTTTTGAAGTTCTATACAAATTTAACAGATGGTTAACAATAAAACCAGCTACAAAACACACACGTCCTTAAGAAGTCAGCAGCAGCAAAGATATTTCTATTTACTGACCAGCTCACCGTAGTCAGCAACGAGCACAGCTACGTCGTCTTGCTACTCTGAACGCACTACTTTTAGTTAGAAAGGAAAATAAAGTGTGCTGTGTTCAAAACCCAGCCTGACAGGAAGGAGCCGGGCTGCACATTTTTAAGAAGCAGAGGACAGAGCTGCTTCCCACTGCCTTGTTCCCTGCACAGGACAGAACGACATTCCCACCTGGGAACAGCCTGGGCTCGCCACAGGTACTTACTCATCGGGATCCTGCTCTGGTGGGGAACTTACATCGGAGGGGGCCAAACTGCCCGAAGGGGAACTCGAGTACCATCCAAACCCTTCATCTGTGGGCGCCACCATCTGCTTCCCTACAACCCTGCCGTGGGGAAAGCAAAGGGAACCCACATCAGAAGGCGCTGGAAGGGAGGTTACTGGAGCGGGTAAGAGCAGCAGCAAACCCCAGGAGTTCTCCTGGGAAGTTGTGCACTTTTTCCAGTGCTCAGTTGGGTTGTTTTCCCTGGTACAGGTTGCTTCGAATCAGGGAAATGCATCGAGGAAACTTGGCCTGGCATTTGTTTAATGCTCTGCTAGCTGTAAAACTTATGAACATGGACAAAACTGTTCCCAGTGCAACGTAAGGAAGATGTAAAATGTAAGTTTTCAGGCAGCCATAAGGACTGCTGAACTAGGGGAGGAGGGTTTTTACAGGATTTTAAGCTTATAACAAATACCATAACAAAATTTGCTGTGCTTAGCAGAGCAAAACCTGATTTTCTAAGAGAACTCTGCTGTGTTAAGGCCAAGTCAGCTGCAAATAGCCATAAACCTCTGCCAAGGAACCAAATGTGAGGTAACAGACTGTTTATTTTAATGAGCAGGGTGATCTTTTTATCTCTCTCTACTCCATAAGTGCATAAACCCACCCTGCTACTCATGTTTTAAAAGCAACTGTGTCCATCCCTACCCTTTTTGTGAGGGGATTGGCACTAAGCTGTCCATGAAATACCTGAGGTGAGGAAAGCTGGATGTCCACTGCTGGCATTCCTCCCACAGTCCCTCCACATGCACATTTTCTTTCTGCTCATAGAGAAGCTCATCAATTTGTCTGAACATCTGCTGAACTTGCTGCGTGGCAGCTTTATCAAATTCCTAGAAAGGGAAGTTATCCAGTAAATACCTAGTGAACAGTATTTGCACTGTGTATGTGTGTGTGTGGGGTTAATTGATTTTTCTTTAATATAATTGAAAACGACAACTATTTGTTTAAAGCTTAGCAGGACTGCACAGAAGGATTTTGACTTTAAATCATTTCCTCCCTGCTGCTAAGACTGAGGGTGGCCACATAAAAAGCTTACATTGACACGGCAGATAAAACTACTGAAACATTTCGAAACACCCGTGTTACTACATTAAGTTACAGGATATAGGAATTTACATAAAAGAAATCAGAAGAGGAAGGATAAAATTCAGTGATATTTTAAGGCAGTGGAAAATTTTGTGGCTTGCAACAAAATAAAGCTGCAACTAAGTAACAAATTATTGTTATCATAAACAATAAAACAAAAGGCAATGCAGACTGGTGGGAAACAGTGAGGGATGATCAGGACCTTTGTTGTTACATGTGCTCATGTAGCCAGAAAATGGGGTCAGTTCTGGGGTCATTTAGATCTGAACAGACCCATCTCACCTCACAAGAAAGCAACAGCACACTGGGCTTTGGTGGATGGAGAATAAAACAGCCATTTCTGAACTAAAATTATGTTTTTGCAGTGTTTTGAGAAGCAAGTAAGCAGAAGTTTGATAAACTCACACCAAGTACCTGAAAATCATCCAGTCATGTTTGGGATTCCACAATAACAGCAGTTGTAGATACACTTATGCACTAAATAATTTGCATTTCCAAAATTTTAGATGGAATTGCACCATATTAATTGAATAACATGAGTCTAATGCGTTCTGAACTGGGAGAAAGGAAAGAGGTAAAAAATATGTTCTTGTTATAATCACTATGATGATTTATTGACAGATCCAATCCTCATCTTTATCCTGAAATGTCTTTTTAATGGTATTTTGAACGGTTTTCTCCTCACTGTGGTAGGTTTGGCTCGGATGATTATGTTCTACTCACATCATAGCCCCAAGAGAAGACTGAGCTGTCTTCAGTGGAGGTGTCAGCACAGCTCTGACTGGCAGTCCCTGGATTCCCATGATCCAGAGCTGATTCCCTCCGGATTTCCGACTCCCTGAAACCCACAAAAAATCAACAGTGGGCAAAAAATAAGCAATGCAGTGTGTCAGCAAACAAAGCCTGGCTGTATCAGAGCAGCTCTGGGAGATGTGTCCTCACAAGTACCTGGAGAGGTGGCCGTGGTTTTCAGCCCTGGGTGTGGCTGAGCACCCCTGAACTCCAGGCTCTGGCAGTGGGTGATGCCTCAGGGCATGTTTTGGGAGTCCTTGTCTAAAAAAAAAAAGCAGACTTTCTGTTTACAGAGTTCCCAGGAAGTTTGACAGGTTTTCTTTCCTGCTTTTCAAGGAATGGTCGTGCATTTGTTGTCATCAGAAGGCTAACTTGGTACTGTGGCTTTAGGTTTAAGGACCAGAGAAAACGGCCTCAAGTCGCAGCAGGGGAGGTTCAGGATGGATATGAGGGAAAGTTTCTTTGTGGAAAGGCTGGTCAGGCATTAGGAGAGGCCTTGGTGGAGTCACTGTCCCTAGAAATGTTTAAAAAGGGTGCGGATGTGGCACTGGAGAGCACAGTTTAGTGATGAACACGGTGGTGCTGGCTTAATGGTTGGACTTGATCTTAGAGGGCTTTCCCAACCTTAAGGATTTTGTGATTCTGTGAAACCATGCACTGGTAAGTTGGGAAGAATAAATTTTTGGTAGTTTTCTGTTTTGTCAAAGTTTAGATGTCAAGGAGAGAGGGACAAGATAAGTAGCATTAACTGGAGACAACAAGTACCGATGCAGGGCAGAAGCCCTGTCCCAAACAGCAGCTGGATGAGGCTTAAATAGAGAACTTCTCTCTCCTGTCATTTCTCTGCTGGCCCGATAGGGCAGAATTAAACATTAAAAGGCTGTAGCTAAGTCTCTAACTTCCAAAATGGATGTATTTGTTCAATACAAATTAAAGACAATTAAATACACGTTTGTTAAACACAAATACATTAAAAGACAAAGGCCAACATATCAATTGGGCCATAACTGACCCAAAATTATTGCTGCCGAAGGTTTACATTCAAGGTATCAGAACTACAGCGTTATAGTACTATATTTAAGTGCAGTTATACAGTATAAGCAGGGTCTTCGCTTTGAAACGCCTTCCTTTAAACTTAAAAACGTCGCGAACCGCGCTGCAGCTCCCCGAGCGCAGAGGCAATGCCGCTGTCCCTGGAGGCGAATTAAACTAAATTAAACAGGACAGGAGCCACCGAGGCAGTCAGAACCGACGCGGCTCTCGGGCCAGGGGAACTAGGAAGCGCAGGGCAGGGATTTGACTGCGGGGGTAACCCGGGGAGGGGGGGGACACACGCGGTGACCGGGCCCTGGCGGGGCCCTGCCTGCGGCCGGGGCGGCGCGGGCGGCGGGGCCGGCAGCGGGAGCGGGGCCGGGGTCAGCACGGGGATGGGGACGGGGAGCGGGTCCGGGATGGCGATCGGGGCCCCGAGGGGAGCGGGGCCACTCACGGCTGCACCGGTCTGCGCGCGTATCGCGATATCATCCTGAGCGCCGCCGCCCCGCCGCCATCGCGCCGCTCGTCCCGCGGGGGCGGAGCGCGGCCCCGCCGCGATGGAGCCGCTCGGCCGCTCCGGCGCCGGGGAGGCTCTGGGGCGGCCCGCGCTGCCCGAGGACGCGGTGCGGTACCGCCTGTTCGCGCCGGGCCCCGGCGGGCAGGCGCTGCTGCGGCGCTGCGCTGAGGCGGCCCTGGTGCGGCTCGCCCCGCTGCTCGCCGCCTACGTGTGGCACCGGCAGCCGTTCCGCCTGCGCTACGAGCCGGCCAGGGGTGAGCCCGGGAGCGGGACCGGGGGAGCGTGCGAGGGGGGCTCCGGTGTGTGAGGGGGAGCACACGGTGTGTGAAGGGGTACCCGGTTGTGAGGGGGGAGCCGGTGTGTGAAAGGGTACCCGGCTGTGAGGAGGGGGCCCAGTGTATGAAGGGGGCCCCGGCAGGGGCTGTCAGGGGTATCCAGGGGTTGTATCCAGGGGTTGTATCCAGGGGTTGTATCCAGGGGCTGTATCCAGAGGCTGTATCCAGGGGTTGTATCCAGGGGTTGTATCCAGAGGCTGTATCCAGAGGCTGTATCCAGGGGCTGTATCCAGGGGCTGTATCCAGGGGTTGTATCCAGGGGTTTGTGAGGGGGGACCCGGCGGGTTCACGGACTCCCCAGAACGGGTCAGGCTGGAAGGGACCACAGTGGGCGCATCTGCCCCAGCCTCGCTGCTCCAGCAGGGCCGTCCCAGAGCACACGGCACAGGCAGTGTGTCCGGGACGGCTCTGGAATGTCCCTAGTGAGGGACACACACCGCAGCTCCGGGGTGCGGGATGGCTGAGCCGCCTCTCCTGTCGCTGTCTCCCGTGCAGGCGGGACCCCGGAGCACATCGGCGGCACCACCCTGTTCGGGGACAACGTGGAGGACGAGTGGTTCATCGTCTACCTGGTCCGGGAGATCACCAGGCACTTCCCGGGGCTGGCAGCCAGGTAAGGCGGGTCCTGCTGAGGCGCCCAGTAGTTCGGGACGGGTGTGAAGGGGCAGTGCCTTCGCTCTGAAGGTCCTGTCTTAATACTGGCCATCCTTGGAGGTGCTTCCCCAACCTTGGAAGTGTTCAAAGCCAGGCTGCTTGGGGACTCTGATTATACTGGTCTAGTGGAAGGTGTCCCTGTGCATGGCAGGGTGTTGGAACCAGATGATCTTTAAGGTCCCTTCCAACCATTCTGTGATTGTATGAGTATTAAAAAGAAACTCAGCAGACATGGATTTAGGTGCTCTGCGAGGCTTTCTCCTGTTAAGAAACCAATTTCTCCTTGGCCAGGATTGATGACAACGATGGAGAGTTTCTCCTGATAGAAGCGGCTGATTTTCTCCCAAAGTGGCTGAATCCTGAGAACAGTGAAAACAGGGTGAGCAAAACTTCTGTACATGTGGCAAGTGGCTCAGGGGGCCTTTCATGTAGCAGCTGGAATCTTCTCTTGCACCTTTAGCCAAGTGGTCTGACTGCCTCTGACAATCCAGAGTGCTGTCTGGCCCTTACTAGTGAATAAACTTCTACTCAGGACTCAAGACTTGTTTTAATCAACAGCATGGGGTTTTTTTAGTACAGTCTGTTTTCATTCTGGTTTTAATGAGCTGCTTTGTTATTGCTGTGGTCGTTGAGTGAGAGATTTAATGACTGAGAACTCCTCACACTTGATTTGGATCTCTGTGCTCTTGCAGAATGTTATGTAGAGTGAGCGTGTAGGGAATTTTTCAGCAATTAGGTTATGCCTATTCTCCTGAAGCAAATCTCTGGTTGAAGGGAAGCTTTTGGTATTACTGTTACTAAGGAAACAAGATACATTTGACCAAACTTGTTGAAGTTAAAATAGAGAGTTTTTTTATTCACTGTTTGGGTCACAGTCGCTGGCATCTCGAATTCCATATTTAAATTATGCTGCTTCCTGTATCATTCATTTGTACTTCAGTATTCCCTGTGTTCAAACAAATGCATTTTGTGTATGAAATTAAGTTTCCCATGGCTCAGTGTGTGCCTGTTCTGATGGAAACATTCCCCTCTGCCAGGTGTTCTTTTACAAAGGAGAACTGCACATCATTCCGCTGTCAGAGACTCCGGAGCAGGACTGGGACCTGTCTGCTCCCTGTCCAACAATCTCAGAGGCACTGGCACTGTTATCCACCCGTTCTGAGGAGTTCCTGGCTGCAGAGCCCATCAGAGCTGCGGTGTACAAACGCATTGATGGGTATGGGGGTGTTTTATTTTGGCCTTCTACCACAGTGAGTTTTGATTCTGGGCTGTCTGGGGTTTAAAGATTTCCCTGATAGGTGTGATAAAGTCGATTCCTGGACTGGTTTGGGCTGGCAGTACGCTTACCATGTTGTGTGGCACACACCAGGTACCCTGAGAAGATCCAGGCCTCGCTGCACCGGGCGCAGTGCTACGTCCCCGCGGCCATCGCGGCCCTGCTGCGGCAGCGCCCGTCCCTGGTGGCCGCCGCCGTCCAGGCCTTCTACCTGCGGGATCCGGTGGATTTACGAGCCTGTCGCCGCCCTTTCCGAACCTTCCCTCCGGATCAGTGCGTGATGACCGTGGTCAGTGATCCAAATCTGCTTCTCCTTCTGGGACTGACAAGGGTTCTGTGGTGGAAATACGTGGGTTTGGTTTTTACAGCGGGATGTTTTCTGGGTTGTTTGTTTGGGTTTTTTTCAATGACCCTTTAATAACTGCCAGTTCGTTACATTCATTGCTTTTTGTGCCTTCACGTACACACGGCTGGGCTTTCAGAGGGCTAAGCGGGAGGTAAATGTTTCTGGAATGGCAGGGCGTGCTAATAGTCCCTCTGCCCAAAGGCCTGCTGAATAAACCGATCCCCTCCTGTGATCAGAGCAGTTTGACAGCACTGCCAGCCAGCAGAAGGAGTTGCTGCCAACTACCCCCAGCTGCTCATGCCAAGGCTTCTCACCTTCTCAGATGTGCTCACACACTTTATGAGGTGTTTCATGAGCATTGTGTGGTAGTATCTGATACGTTTTCTTACATTGCTATACCCCTCAAAAGAAGCTTTGCAGTCAAATTTTAGATTTCTGGGCTGCTCCTGAAACCTCAGCTTTGGCTTCATTAATGGAAAAAAGCCCTTGCAGTTTTTCCAAATAAAACATGTTGGTGTGAATACTGAATACTTAGGGTCTTTTCTAATGCATTTAGACTGATTGAAGTTCATGTTTATTTAGAGATGTCACCTTGGGACATACTTTGTGTAAGACCTGAAAAGCAACATATCTTAGAAAAACTTACCTAGGATGTGTTTTGAATGCGGTCTCGGGTGTTGTCTGTAATGCTGGTGCCTTAAAACACGATTTGGATGAGCCTGGCGGAAAGTTGATGCCTGTACACAACACAGTCACGCTGCAGCGAGTGGTTTCTTTCTGCTCTGGCTGTTGCAGGTTACCTTCACACGGTGTTTATATGCCCAGCTGGTGCAGCAGAAGTTTGTTCCGGACAGGCGCAGTGGATACACCCTGCCCGCCCCGTCTCACCCTCACTACAAAGCCCACGAACTGGGCATGAAGCTGGTAAGGATTCCTCAATGGATTTTGTGCTTAGTTTGCCTGGTTTATGCATGCCCAGGAAATGACTCTTTGCTTTTTAAGTTGCCTGCTCGGCCAGAAAACTGTGAGCGAAGTTTTGCCACACCTCGAGAACCTCTTTGGTTTTGCATCTCTTACACAGGCTCATGGCTTTGAAATTTTATGCTCCAAGAGCAGCAGAATAACTCCTGATTCCAAGAGAAACATGTTAAGTGGTCCCTTGTGGGAGAGATTCCTCAGGAGCCTGAAGGAAAAGGATTATTTCAAGGTGAAGTTGTGTGTCTGTGTCTTACAAACATTCCAATAAAAATGTTTTAGCTCTTGAACTTGTGGAAGTAGTTTTGCAGCAGGGCAGGAATTTCTTTTGAAATTAATTTATTTTGGAAATGAATAAGGAAAAAAGCAGCATTTGTGGATGAATCCATTCTTCTAAAGAAAGGGGAGAGAGACACTTGAATGAAGGAAATCACAACACGGCTGTGTGAAGTCTTAACTGATTTCACTGGTTTACATTTCATTTGCACGCCTCTAGAATTCAATATTCCCAATGATCCATACGTAACACCATAAATCTGTTTGGGCCTCTGTAAGTGTAATTTTGTGTGTGTGTCTGCTCATGCTTGTGACAGGGAGAAATGGAAGGGTCTGCTAAGTACTCAGAACTCTTGCACATGGCAGAGGATTATTTCCAGCAATCTGTTACCACTCCAGAAAGGTAAGAGCTACTTGAAATTCGTGAGTATCACACACAGTGGCTACAAATACTTTAACTTACCTTCTCAAATTCTTGTTACAGAAAACCTGAGCCCTTTTCTCCATTGTACATTTAACAGTGTACAGTGCTGTGGTGCTCTGGCTAGGAGCAGTATTCCTCTAGAATACTCCCTACCAGTAGAGGTTTTTGCTTGGGTAACTATTTATCTTGGTTTTGTAAAGTGTTAAGCTCTTCCAAGTGGGTTAAGAGGTGACTGACAAGCATTATTTGCTTGGTTGACTATGGAAAGTGTATAAAAGTTACATTGAAAAGCAGTCCCAGTGAAAAACAAGTCTAGAGTAATCTGTCTCCTCTACTCAAGACAGGCAGCTGGCTGTAGATTTCTCCAAAAGATCAAATCCAAGAAATAAATCATTACAAAAATAGCTGAGAGTTTGCCAGCTCATGATATCTGGGCTGTTAGTTTTTTGAGTTTCCAGTCTCTGCTCTGGCAATCTCCATATTTACCAAGGCAAAACAAATATAAAGAAAAGAAAACATAAGAAGTGGGCTTTGGAGCCATCAGCTACAAATTACAGCAACTGACTGTGTCTTGTTTTGGCAAATCCTCTGTGTAGTATTCTGGTACTTCCCCCAAACTCACCTACCTCTTGCCATGTTTGCCAGAAGCAAAAAATGGAGAATCTGAGTGAAAACCTGAATGTAAAGCATGTGATGCCATTGAATCCTTTTCAATAAATTGTTGGGTTTTTTTCCTTCTAGCTCTGTTGAAGTGAGCCCAGGTGATGAAATCTTGGCATTGCTACAGACAACACCCGTTGATTTGAAGGAATT